TGAGGATCGGCGGGGCAACTGCAATGTACCACGTGACCGAGGACCTCTCCCGAGTGCGCCGATTCGGGCGCTGGCAGTCGGACGCGTTCCACGGCTACCTGTGGGAGTCGCACGAGCCGATGAAGGGCATCTCCGGCAAGATGGCCAGGGACAATTCCTCGTTGACCAACCCGGCGAAGGACAGCGCCCCCAGCAGAGCTGCCGCCGGCGCCGAGAGCGCCAGGCGTGAGAGCCCATGAGAGGCCGCAGCGGGCGCCGCCGGTGCTTACGCACCTGGCGTGCGCCCAACCCAAGCCGCCGGCTTCACGCCGTGCGTGCTTGGGTGCAGCCACCAGCCACCTGCCCCGCCGGCGAGTAGCCGCGCGCTCGCAGGGTACACCCGCCCGTGCCTTCAGCACTGGCTAATACCTCGCGGCAAAAGCATGCGTGCAGGCCCGTCCGTCAGGGCCCCACTAGTGCCTGGGATACTGTGGGTCCCCTTGCAGCCCTGGACGAGGACCACGCTGGAACCCGCCTGGCACGCCGGCTCTCCATGCCAAGCCTGGGCGTGCCGGGCATACTGGCGCCAGCTGTGCTACAGTAGCTGGCAGTCTGACGGCCCGGGTGGCCGCAGCGCTCGAATTCATGCGCAGGCACGGGCCCGCGCCCCAGCGCCGGCCCGGGGAACCCCCTCTGTCAGGGGCCGGACCCTGCCCGCCCCGTGCACTTTGGGCACCTGTGGAGGCGGGGAGCCGGGAGATCTGGAGGCCGCGGCGCAGACGGGGATGCCAAGTGCCGGCCCGTGCCAAGCGCCAGCGACGACACCCTCGGGCCTCAGCCCGAGGTCGGGCTCCGCCGGCAATCAAGGTACCGGCGCGAGCCCAAGGCCTAGCCTCACGGAGGACAGCCGCGCACGCCGGCATCAGTTGCCTGGCGGCAGTCGGCAGACAGAGGGCCAGTCGGGCCCCACGCGCACGCCGGCGCGCACGCCAGGCGATGCGTGACTCAGTGCCTAGACGGTGCCGGCAACACAACGCCTGGCACCCAGTTTTGGCGACGCCCATCAGGGCGCCCACACAGCACGCCGGCGCGTAGAACCCGCCAGGCGGCCAGTGTGCGGGGGCACTGGCAGCAGCACCAGTATTATAGAACAAAGGCGGCGAGGCCCGCTTCGCGTGGCGGAAGGAGGGACCCGCCTGGCGTGTCATCGCCGGCGGGAGGAGCGTGCGGCCAGCGCAGCAGCAAAATGGGGGGGGCTGCACCGCTGCCGCCATCATCGTCATCGTCTCCTGAGGGCTCGCTTCAACCGCTTCGCGGCTGGCACGTCCCGCGGCCTTAAAGCAGGCCGCGCTTTCGCTAGCGCCGCACTGTGGGGGCGGGGTCTTAGTTGTTTGTCCTAAACGGTTGGACCCCGCCCTCCCCAGTCGGCTTGGGTTTCTCCTCTCCCTGCTCCTGCCTCTGCTTGCCCTTCCCTTTTCCTCTCTCCCGCTCAAGCCTTCGGGGCTCAAAGCCCTCCCAGGGCCCAAAGGGGCCCTCTTTTGCCCGCCCGCCCTGGGCTTTGCCTCGGTGTCCTACGGCGCCGGCGGCGAGGCCCGCTTCGCGTGGCGGAAGGAGGGACCCGCCTGGCGTGTCATCGCCGGCGGGAGGAGCGTGCGGCCAGCGCAGCAGCAAAATGGGGGGGCTGCACCGCTGCCGCCATCATCGTCATCGTCTCCTGAGGGCTCGCTTCAACCGCTTCGCGGCTGGCACGTCCCGCGGCCTTAAAGCAGGCCGCGCTTTCGCTAGCGCCGCACTGTGGGGGCGGGGTCGGGGCACTCTTGGGGCCCCCTGGGGCTGCTCGTGGGGGCGGGCCCCTCTTGGTGCCGTCGTGGAGCCTTCTTGGGTAGTCTTGGGGACCTCTTGGGCCGTCTTGGGGCCATTTTGGGCCGTCGTGGGGCCGTCTTGGGGGCCTCTTGGGCCGTCCTGGGGCGGTCTTCGGGGGCCTCTTGGGCCGTCTTGGAGCGTCGTCGGTTAGCCCACAAGGCGAATTTGTGAAACAATATACGTTTTATGACAGACATGAGCACATGTTTGCGTCTAGGCACCCCCCGTGGGACGTATCTTGGAGGCCTCTTGGGGGCGTCTTGGGCCATCTGGAGACCATCTCGGGTGTGTTTGATCGCTCTTCGACCGTCTGGGACCATGTTGAGCTCTCTTGGAAACACTTGGAGCGCTCCTGGGGCGCTCTTGGGGCCGTCTTCGGGGCTCTCTTGGGCCGTCTTCGGCGCCTCTTGAGCCGTCTTCGGGCCTCTTGGGCTGTCTTGGGGCCCTCTTGGAGGCTTCTTGGACCGTCTTGGGGCGGACTTGGGGGCCTCTTGTGCCGTCTGGGAGCATCGGAAAGCCCAGAAGGCGAATTTGTGAAAAATGTACGTTTCACGAAGGGAACGGGTCAATTTTTGGCGTCTAGAGGCCCTCTTGGGACGCATCTTGGATGCCTCTTGGGGCCTCTTGGGGGCATCTTGGGCCGTCTGGGGGCCATCTGCGGTGTCTTTGATCGCTCTTGGACCGTGTGGGACCATATTGAGCTCTCTTGCAGGCCACTTGGAGCGCTCCTGGAACGCTCTTGGGGCCGTCTTCGGGGCCCTCTTGGGCCGTCTTGGACGCCTCTTGAGCCGTCTTGGGGCCCTCTTGGGCTATCTTGGGGCCCTCTTCCAGGCTTCTTTTGCCGTCTTGGGGCGGTATTGGGGGCCTCTTGGGCCGTCTGGGAGCATCGGAAAGCCCAGAAGGCGAACTTGTGAAACTTGTACGTTTTACGAAGGAAATGGGCCCATTTTTGCGTCTAGGGACCCTCTTTGGGACGCATCTTGGATGCCTCTTGGGGCCTCGTGGGGACCTCTTGGGCCGTCTAGGAGGCCTCTTCGCCCGTCTTTGGGCCATCTTGGGCGTCTTGGAGCGCTCGTTTGGCGTCTCGGGGCCCTCGTGGCCGTCTTGGAGGCCTCTTGGGGCCTTCTTGGGGCCCTCCTGGGTCCGGAAAAGCCTCGTGATGCGCTCGCGCCGGGCCGGGGGGGGCTCGCGCCGGGCCGGGGGGGGGGTCAAATCTCCGGTTTGGGGTCCCTGGGGGGGGCTATGGGGGGGAACTATCTCACACGCCTAGAGACCCACAAGGGGTCGGCGGATTTGGCGAAAGCACTGGGCCGATTTCGGTGGGCGGCCGGGTTCCGGGGTTCCGGTTCTGGGTTCCCGGGTTCTCGTTGCTGGTTTTGGACCGGTTTCGGTGGGCGGCGGGGTTCCGGGGTTTCTGGGTTCCTGGGTTCTTGGTCGATATTCCTATCGTTCGGTCCCAGCATCGATCTCATTATCCACTTTTCTATTGATTTCACAATCGATCCCATTATAGATCGCACGAGCGATCTCACGATCGATCTCACTATCGATCTCACTGAATCGACTTCACGATCGGTCTCACGATCGACCTTGCTATCGTCCTTTCTATCGATCCCATTCTCGGTCTCACTATCGATCTCGCAGTCGATCTCAACATCCATATCAGAATATTTGAAACCATCCACTGATTGGGGTTTTCTCTGGTGTATTTTTTTTGCTAGGAATGGTAGCCTTGCGCAAAGCAGGCAATACATGTATGCTGGCACCCCCGCCGTCCGTGTCAAAAACAATACAAAGTGCTCGCGGGTCTCACGAACATAATTCAAGAATTTGCCTCAAAGTGTAGTTTGTATTGTTTTTTGACAGGGATGGTGGGGGGGGGGCCGCATCGGGCTGGCCGCGCATGCTCCAAGCGTGGAGGCAGAGTGTGTTTTGTATTGTTTTTTGTCAGGGATGGTGGGGGAGGTCACCCATGGTTCCTGGTTGGCTGCCTGTCGCCTGGGGGAGGGGGTGTGTAACTATTAGTAGGGAACATTGATAAACCCCTCCCCGAAGGGGATGACGGGGGTTGGAAGAGAAGCCGCCCTAGACCACCCACGCCCAGACTGCTGGTGGGATTCTCGGAAGTCCGAGCGGATTTTTGAGATCTGCGCCAGACCTCGCTGGCTGTGTCTCCGGCGCAGCCTTGGGCGCGCGTTGCGCGCCGGCGAGGGGGACCCAGCGCCGATCCAAGACGTCCGCTTGGACCCCAAAGTGTTCCCAGAAGAGTGCTCGCACTCGTGGGGTTCCTACTGAACTGCGCTGCTCATACGGTCGAGCACTTGGTTGGGTGCGCCGGGCTTCTCGGCTGGTGCCCGGCTGATGTGCGCCCGTGTTCGGGTGAGCAGACCGGTGCACATGCACGGATCCTGGCCAGGCCCGTCCAGGGGCCCAGGATCGGTGTATATGCCTCCCTGGCCAGGCCACGAAGGCGTATGCACCGATCTGAGGCTCAGGATGGGCCTGGCCAGAGTCGGTGCATGTGCATAGTTCTTTTTCCTCTGCGTGTGCGCCTCGTGCTGCGCGCGCGTGCCGGCGTTTTTCGCCTGGTGCCCGCCCGTGGGTGCTCGTGGTGCGCCCAGTGACGACGGTGTCTCCCCGGTGCTCGCCCGCGGGCGCCTCGTGCGCCGGGCGGGTGTGCTGAAGTTTCGGCGGGTGCTCGCCTCGTGGGCGCCTCGTTGGCGCCGGGCGGGTGTGCCGAGTGGTCGCCCGGTGCCCGCCCGCGGTGCGCTCGTGGGCGCCTTGGGGGCCGCCGCCTCGCGCGCTGGGCGGGTGTGCCGAGTGGTCGCCTGGTGCTGGGCCGTGTGCGGCGCCTCTCGTGGGCGGCCCGTGCGCTGGGCGGCCGCATAGACTGCACCACGTTGCTTGCACCACATTGCTTGCACCGTACGTCTTGCACCACGAAGCCTGCACCACGTGTGCTGCACCGCGCAACTTAAGCCACATAACGCCACGCAGCCTTCACCGCACAGCCTGCACCACGCATATATTGCACCGCACAGCTCACGCCACATAGCTTGCGCCACATAGCTTGCGCGTCCACAGTGTGATGACTTGCTGTTTGAGGGCCCCGCTTGCAAGCGTATGCTCATGCCGATGCTCCTTTCTACGATCTCAAGTGAGAATCTCAAGAGTATTGCGGGTGCCTGCCCCGAGTAGCTCACGGTGGCAGCCCTGTGCTCGCTAATTCGATGGGTACATTGCGCATGGCACGTGATAACGCAGAGATTATGATACACTCCGCTTCGAGGCGGTGTTTTTTTTTCCGCTGAGTGGGAGTGGCAGGCCAGGCGCCTGGCGCGCATGCGTGAGCGTCACATTCAAGCGTTCTGCTGCTCCCTCCCCATCGGCATCATCGTCACAGTTCCACCGTGTTTCCTTAACCATGCTCTACCTGTGCTGATGCCTCTTCTATGAACCCTCCAGTCCTTGACGAGCACCGATCTGCAGGCCTCGCGCCGAGTAGCGACGCCTGCCCCATGGCCAGCGCAGACGCGGCCTCCGTCTCGGTGGCGCCGTGCCGCGGAAGGCGCGCTGCAGCGCGATGGACGACGCGTCGAGCTTGGTTTGAGCGGGAAATTGGCATCGAGGCACTGCCAGGAAGCTTGATACACATGGCGGTGGTGTGAATCCAGCCATGTGTGTTTCCAGCTTCCTCGTGGGTAGGGCCATGCAGTGTGCATTCCGACATGACCGGTTCGATTCGATCTCGATTTCGTCCAGCTCTATCCGGCTCGATTCCGACCCTCTGACGACTTGGTGCGCCCCGATGCCTCCATGGCGCTGATGTGCATCCCGGCGCGGCCGATCCGATTCGATCTCGTCTCCGTGCCGATGCGGCCCGATCCGCAGCGCCCTCCCCTTCGACGTTGCGATTTGTTGTGGCATCGGCCCCGAGGGGCTTGGATCCATTCCCCTGGGCCGGCTTTTCATCCTGGGTCTCTTTGGACGGTCCAGAGTTTGGACGCCCGAAATGGGTACGGAAAAGATGGGTACAATGCCCAACAACAAATGTTGTCCCAAACCAACAGCGGCCGCTGTTGGGCAGGCGCCCTTCTGTCTCAAATGGAGACAGGCCGCGGCGGCGCGGACAGCGAGTCCTGTTCAAGATGAACAGGAACTGCTGTTGGGCATTGTACCCATTCCTTCCGTATCCATTTCGGGCGTCGAGACAGGCCGGGAGGCCGCTCCGAGGGGCCGAGCCGAACACGTCCAACGACTGGCCGTCGCGACGGTTTTGCTCGCTGCCCTGGTCCGAGGGCCCTCTCGGGGTGGGGCCTCTCGGGGACCTCGCGAGGCCTCTTGGGGGCCCTCTCGGGGCCCTCTCGGGGTTCTCTCGGGGGCTTTTCTCGGGCCGCCTTGGGGCCACCGCGGAGGCCATCGATCAAAGAAGGGGGTGGCCCTGACAGCATCGCCCCCTCGGGAGGCCAATATTTGCCCCGGGAAATTAATGTTTTTGCCTTTCGCTGAGGCCTTCTTGGACGCTCTAACGACCGAAGACCCCATCTCCCCCTCCGGACGCAGGGGGAAGATGTACGTATGGGGTAGGGCCTTCCCCGAAGAGAAGAAGGGAGAAGTTATAAGAGGGGTGGTGGGGTTCTTTTGCTCTAAACCACTCACGCCTGAAAGGGGTGGTGGGATTCTCCGTGTGTAGGGTATGTGGAGAGATCGGATCCTATTGCTCCGTGTATCCAAGCGCAAGAGCGATGGTGGTGGTGGTGGTCTGATGTGGTGTGGATTTCGGCCGCAACGTTGGTGGGGGGATAGGCTCAGGGTGTGATGTATCGACCCCCGATCGCCCATTCATCGCCTAGAGGGACCTGGTACTGGTAGCCTACCCCGCCCAGGAACGTGCGGTGTCGTTATCGGGGGCCTCAGGATAGCTGGAGATGAACAGTTTTACCAGGTAGAGCGAATGATCAGAGGAATCGGGTCTGCGTTGTCCTAGACCTATTCTCAAACTTTACATGGGTCAAATCCAGTGCCGCCGATCTATCGGCGATGTGCCGATCCAGTCTCGGAATGTCTGCCCCCCTGAGCCAGCCACCCCGAGCGTTCCCCCCTCAGGGTTTTGATCTGCTCCTGACTGCCGCCGGGGTTCGGCGGCGCGCCCAGGGGGGGAAGACACAGGTTGGCGGGCCTTCTCGGAAGGCTCAGAAGGCCCAGGGCTTTCTCCTGCTCCTCCTCCTCAGGCCTCCTGCTCCTCCTCCTCCTCCTTCTGCTCCTCCTCCTCCTCCTCCTCTTCCTCCTCCTCCTCTTCCTCCTCCTCCTCCTGCTCCTCCTGCTCCTCCTGCTCCTCCTGCTCCTCCTCCTCCTCCTCTTCCTCCTCCTTTTCCTCCTCCTCCTGCTCCTCCTCCTCCTCCTCCTCCTTTTCCTCCTCCTCCTCCTCCTCCTTTCTGAGAAGCTTTCTGAGCCCCTTCCGAAGCCGCAGAGGGCTCCTCGGAAGGCTGGAGGGCTTCTGAGGAGCCCCGCCGCCTTCTGTGAAGGCCTGCCCCCTCCCACTTCTCCTCTCGCAGAGTTTGGTTTTCGGGTCATAGCTGGGGTCTCGTGTGGCCGTTCTGGACGATCCGGGCACCCGTGGAACGCTCTCGGCGAGGCGCAGGTGCTGGAAGGCATCCCGAGGCTGGGAAGCCTCCGAGAGCAGACGAACACCTGGACGCCGAGGCTTCCTCCCTCGCCCTCGGCGCGCCGCCGGCGCTTGCCGCCAGGGTGCCTGCAGCTCTCGGAGGCCTACGCCTGCGTCCTGGCCTCCTACGCGGCGCTGCAGCTCACCACGGCGGCGACGTGCCGCGTGCACCGCGAGGAGCGCCGCGTGCCCGCCCGCGTGCCCGCCCGCGCCGGTGGCGCGGCCGCTGCCCGCGGCAGTCCGCCGGGCGACGGCCCAGGCCTCCAGCGCACGGCAGGGCCGCGCCGTGGCGAGCAGCGGCGAGCTCGCCGCCGGAGGAGGAGGAGGAGGACCTCTGCCTCCCCTCCTCCTCCTCTGCCTCCTCCTCCTCCTCCTCCTCCTCCTCCTCCTCCTCCTCCTCCTCCGCCTCGATGTCGGACGATCCGGGCGTCTCGGACACGGCCGATCGTTCCGGGTGGAGCGATCCCCGCGGGGCCAGGGGCCAGCGCAAGGGGTCGGCCCGGCGCGAGCCTGCCGTATCTCCGAGAGCATCGAGGCGGAGGTGCTCTTCGTCTTCGTTTTGCCCGGATCGCGCTCGGTTCGGGGTGTCTATCTTGTGGTGCAAAAGGGGCCACAGAAGATCACCACCCATCAAACCACCCCAAGCCAACCCGAAGGCTCAGATTTACCCTTGATTTCTAGTGTGGGGGGGTCCGGGAACATCGAAAAAACACATATGGAGCCCATACCCCCCCCAACCCGAAATTCGGGTCTTCGGGTTGGGTTGGGGTGGTCTGGTAGGTAGTCAGTAGAGCTCCACAGAGGGGACGGGGAGGGGTAGGGCAGGACATCAAATCTGGCCGCCGATTCGCCCGAGACGTCCTCACAATCTATTCACGAATCGTGCTCTCGCCTCAGTGCGGGCTACACTTCTGGTCCAGACGGCCACGGGACGATTGCAAATTCCACAGATGGATGACACCATACAGCTTGAACCACATAGTTTGCATCACGGTTTGCATCACCTAACTTGAACCACCTTGCTCGCGACACGAAGATAGCACCACAATGACTACGCCATATAGCTTGCATCATTTAGATTGTATCACCGATATGGCGCCACTTCGCTGGCACTGATTATTTAGCACCACATGAGTTTCACCATGTATCATGCACAGCCAGAGCGCAACACCGCAATCGCTGGTGTCTACGTTTGCAGACTATGTTATGCGAATCGTGTTGTGTGCATGAAAGTACATGTTGACCTCGAACAGAGCTCTGCTGAGGTCGCGCGATGGCGCAAGGATAATCGCGGCTCGCGCAGCGAGGAGCGCGATAACAGGAGGTGTTTCATATTGGCCTCGCCCGTACCGGTGCACACGCGGTCGCCAAGGACGAGCGAATGTCAGAACCCGAAGTGGCACCACCTTGCCGATCACGACGGGGGCGAGGCAGACTGGGTGCCGCGATTGGGGGTGGGATTTGGGGGAAAAGCCCACGCTCGAGCGCCATCCTCGTCACCGAAGCCTTTCCCCGACCCTTAGTCTCGGCACTCCCCCCTGCCAGGGATGCCCGCGGGTGCCGCCGTCCAGGGCGTCATTCTGGGTTCTCATTGTTTTCGTCGTCATCACCACCAGCATCATCGTCTGAGGAGAGATGATGGTTATGGTAATAATGATGGTACTGATAATGATACGAATGATGAAGATGATGATGATGAGGGTAATGGTGTTAATGGTGATGATGCTGAGGAGGAGGACGAGGAGAGTTGATGATAATAGTTCTCATGATGACGCTGCTGATGATGATGAGTATGCTGCTGATGATGATGGTGATGATGATTCTGATGATACGGCGGATGATGCTTATACTGATGATGCTGTTGATGATGATGCTGACAATGATGCTGATGATGATGGTGACAATGACGATGACGACGACGCCGACGATGACAATGATGGTGCTTATGAAGATGATGATGATGATGATGATGATGACGATGTTGATGATGCTGATTATGCTGATGATGCTGGCAGTGATGATGATGACGACGATGATGATGATGATGCTGATGCTGATGCTGATGATGAGGATGCTGATGATGGTGATGATGATGATCATGCTGATGCTGATGCTGATGCTGATGATGATGAAGATGCTGATGCTGCTGCTGATGATGATGGTGCTGATGATGATGCTGATGCTGATGCTGATGCTGATGCTGATGCTGATGGTGATGATGATGACGATGATGACGATGATGATGATGATGATGATGATGATGATGATGATGATGATGATGATGATGATGGTGGTGGTGTGGTGGTGGTGGTGGTGGTGGTGGTGGTGATGATGGTGGTGGTGGTGGTGATGATGATGATGATGGGTGAATGAATGCAGATGAATGATCGCGCGGGTGTCGAAGGACAACAAACGTCTACGTGGGCACTGGCGGGGAGCCGACCACGCTGGTGTGCAGCACCAGCATGGACCTCGCAGTGCACTGCGGCGAGTGTTGCTGCACCCCGCCGCGTGCCGTAGCACCTGCGAGTGAGATAGGAATGACCTGTCCCAGGTATTATAGGTCAGAGGAACCGACGCGATGAAGGCCGGTAATAACCCATGGACGCCGTCGCTCAAAGGTGGGAGACGCTGTGAGGGAACCACCGCCTGAGAGAGCCGCCGTTCCTCCGCTTGGTCGGGCGCCTTATGGTCGTCGTACAGTCCGTGCATGGTCGTTTTGCGCTCTGCCACTGTAGGATTCGCCGCGCGTGGGGGACGCTTGCGTAGGAGCCACTGTGCGATTCGTCGCGCGTGGGGGCCGCCTGCGTAAGGGGC